CCAGAGCTGACCCCCCGGGGAGGTGCCACTGACTGAGAGTGGACATATCTCGTTCATGCAGATTAGAACTGTAAATGGGCTGATTCATCGATGTCACGCTCATAACTGTGCCTGATTTACACCACGGAACTGCTGCTTTTTCTCTCCTAATCCTTACTATTATCATTTTTTCTCTACTTCTTTTGTATGTTTGTCACTCTTGAGAACCACTATTTCCGGGGTGTCTTGATAGTCGAAGCAGACTTTGTGTTAGAGAGGTGAGCAGAGTAAGTCTGATTCCCTGTGTTGACATCGACCCCTTGGTGCTCATATGGCCTTATGCAGTTGCGAGCGCTGTAAAACCTCTACTAAAACAAAAACTAAACAGAGCTGCAGGCCATCAAACACTAACGATTATCATGCAAACATTTATTTCGTTTCAATTGTCTGTTATGTATAGATCTATAATATAGCATGTTAAAATAGCTGACAGCTTGATGCACTCTTGAGCAAAATATGTCTAATCAGCCTCAAATCAAATGTGTCGCTTACCAGACCAACACTGTAATATTTTAAGTTAAACAATACTACATTTTAGCTGTATCAGAAATTTAGTTCCAAAGTTTTACTGTGGGTGATACTCATGTAGAAAAGAAGACGCAGAAATTTAAAACGATATAATATAAAGTAATACTGGAGGGGGCCTTAGTTGAGCGCCTGACACTAGTGGCAGGATGCTCCATAATCTCTCTCGATCATAACAGTTTCTAGTGCTTTTTTAAAGTTATTCATATAGTGGATTTTTATATCAGTGTATTCGTCATTTGACAGTGTATGTGGTGATGTAGGATTTGTACAAAAACAGTCAGTATTTTCAAATAAATTATCAGTTTTCAATTCACCATGATTGACTTGGTATTTTTCTATTGGACATTCGTTCTTCTTCTGGGCTCTACAGAACTCTGTGCTCGGGAACAAGTGTGTGAATACGTGTGTTTCCCCTAGTTCTTGTTCGTGTGTTATACCAGTAAAGTGAAAAAAAACCGAGAAGAAAGAAAAGAAGTGGACGACGAAAACAAAAGACAATCCCTATAGTGTTTAGTGTTAATGATTTAGAAAAATCGTGCATCAGCAGCAGACCAAAAAACAGAATTAACATTAGATCTAATAATTTGGTCAAAATCGACTGTCGAAACTTTTTGCAAGAAGTAATACACAATGTCAGAGTAGCTTGCCTCTACACCAGGTCATGCCGTAATAAAGTGACGAGTTAAATGATTTAATTATTGAAATGAAACTTGATATTTTATATATGACAGAATCATGGTTGCAGGAGTACGGTGACGATGCTATTTTATCAGCAATATGTCCAGTTGGTTATTTAATTAAGTATTTCCCTCGTGTCGGGCGTAGAAGAGGAGGAGTAGCATTGATTTATAGTACTAATTTAGCACAAGTTACAGTGAAAAAGATTCCCTGTCACTCATGTGAGGCTGCTTTATTGTCATTCCAGCTGCAGTCTCTAAGCATTACCATCTGCTGCATATGCAGGCCACCACCGAGTAAAGCAAAATACATCATACCATCCGTTTTTATGAAGGAATTTCTAAATTTAATTTCAGCTCTGAAGATAAAATGTACACCATTCATTATAACTGGCGATTTTAATTTTCACTTTGGCTCTGAAAACCCTGTCACTAAAAATATTTATGCAACATGCTGACAGAAAATCATTTAAAACAACTCGTCCGAGTACCAACACATAAAAGTCAGCACATCCTAGACTGGGTTATCTCCCCTATTGAAAAGAACTGTGTGGAAAGCATTAACGTTCTGGACAAAGACATTTCAGATCATTTTCTTCTTTTTGTTGACTTTAACTTGAACATCAAAAGACCAAGAAAAGAAATTAAAACAGTTCATTCCCCGAATCTGAACGATATAAATTTACACCAGTTTCAAAGCGAC